TATAAAATTATTAATTATAATATATATACAATTGTTTATATAAACTTATAATATATATACTTAAAGAAAGGCTTTGAGATTAGAATAGTTTTGGAATCTAACTATTTTTTTTAATTTCATAAAATTAAGTATAAATCCATATAGTTAATTAAATTAATTCATAAAATTATGATTATTAATTAACTTGTAATGTCTTTTAATATATATAGTTTATATATATTGTGTTAATTTATAAGAAATATAATTACTATTATATATATATATCAAAATACTTTTAGTGTATGTATATATATATATATATATACTTTAAATATAAACATCTTTACTTTCTATTTTGTGTTAACATTACAAAAATTATAATTTATAAAATTATTAATTACAAATATATATACCTTTATTTATATAAACCTATCATATATAAATCTAAAGAAAAATTGTGAGATTTGAAACCTAGTTATTTTTTTTTAATTTCATATAATTAAGGACAAACTCATATAGTTAATTAAATTAATTAATAAAATTATGATTATTAATTGACTTGTAATGTCTTTTAATATATATACTATTTATACATTCGGTTCATTTATGAGAAATATAATTACTATTATATATATACTAAAATACTTTTAGTATATGTACACTTTAAATATAAATATATTTCCTTTCTATTTTGTGTTAACATTGTAAAAATTATAAGTTATAAAATTATTAATTATGTTTGAGATATTTATTTTTGATTATTTAAATTTAAATTTTATTATTTGTGTGTTTTTATTAATTTAATTATTAGTAAATTATATGAAATATGTAAAAAAAATATTATTGAATATAAATATATGTATGAATTTTGGTTGAGTAATTTGATACCCATGAATAGTATTTTAATAATTTTTTATATAATCAAACTTTTAAATGGTTTAGGATAATTATAGGATAGTAGGGACGTATTAGGGTTGCGGTAATAATTTTTAAAATTATTCAAGTAGTTAATAAGGTTTGGATATTTTATTTCTTATAAAGTTAGGATTCGAGTATTTGAAAATTAATGAGTACCTTGCCTATTGACAACCCTAATTTTGTCTATGGGTATGCCTAAATTAAGAGCCCCACAACAATGCGTGCTTTCAAAGAACCTCCAATCAAGCTTTCGATTGTTGTAAATCTCAAGCTACCCAAATGTGCAACCTTTAATGGTGATTTATACAAGATATCAAGAAAAACACTAGAGGTGGTTATGGAATTTGCTTGCTGCTAGGGTTAGTGCTAGCTAGGTATAAAAGGTGTTATTTTAGCACTCTTCACTAAGAGAAAGACAAAAAACCAAGGTGGATGAAGAAGAGAGACGATCAATCGATGGCACAAGGAAAAAGGAGGTGAAATGATTTCAGGGTTTCTCTTTCTTGGCTGAACCCTTCCATCTCTCTTTTCTATGCAAGTCTTGTCACACACACCTAGAATCACCTTTTAGGAAAGCATAGAATAGTTCATGTAGAGGTAATTAGGTTTGATATAACTTTTATATTAATTACAAAAAATTACTTCAACTTAATTGAACACATTCAATTAAGTCTTTGAAGTTTATGACTTTTTCAATTAAGTCTAACTTAAACTTCAATTTTTACATTCTTAAATTGGTATGTTTTAAATGTATATGATCCATTAAGTTTCTAACATGTTGTCAAATTTTGAATTAAATGAATCAAATTCATTTGCATTTATCATCAATTCTCAAATTGATTAGTTCATATTTATAATTCAAGATTTTCATTTAGCAATGTGTCATGACATCCAAAATGTTAAGAAAAGTCAGAGATTTGACTCAACCTTTCAATATCAGTATGTTAATGTAATTTGATCCATCAACATCCAATATCTCAATAAGACGTAGAGTATGGTTTATTGTCTACTCTATAATTATTTTTATCCTTTTAGCTCTTGAAACTTGTTTTTTACTCCTTAATGAAATTCAGAAAAACTTTCTTTTTTCAAATATTCATTCTACCTTGGCCAATGATTTACATGAGTTAAAATATACCAAGAAGCAATAAGATGTTAGTTTCAAGTATCAAGTTCAATGAACCTATTCTACTAACAAATCCACATGTTAGTTTCAAGTATTTTCATATTTCAATTTATGAAATTGATTGTCCACTTCACAAGCAAGAAATAACATGTACTAATCTCTCAACTTCTATCAATATCCTTTTTCTTAATAAAGCATTGACTAGAAACTATTTACGAATTTTGCTTTGATGCAATGGGGATTTCATAATTATAACACATTATAATTCTTTTGTAAGGTATATAAATTTTGCATACATAAAGACTTAAGGTGTGTGTTAGTCTTAAGCATAGATTAGGGAGTAAATGAATAGCCTTAGGGGTATGTTTTGACACATAAAATATATCTCAAGATATTTAAAATAGACAGAGGTTTATTAACTAAATCATAAAGTGTTTAAAGTAGAGAATAAAATGAATAATAAATAAATACAATACATGCTCAAGCCTTATTTTGCATATTTCTTATAGAATATCTTATATTTATCATGAAGTCAACTAGGCTGTAAATTTTTTATCTAATCGAGGCTACTTTCACCAGAATCTTCAGGTCTTTTCTCATGCTTAAGGTGAGTTGCATGGTATTTTAAAACTAGATAAATTAAATTTACATTATGTTAGGTTCAAATAATTATAAAGGAGTAGTACTCCTAATTTATCTTCGTATTTCCATAGAAATTTATAACAAAGTGTTATTACTTTACCTCTGCATTCATTGAAAATATGTAAGTGAAGTAATGCCTTTATTAGGTGAAATTTATTTCATTATTCATGCAAAATCGGAGGTAAGGTTTATGTCTCCCTTTATTTTGTACATTTTATTTATTGTATTAATAAAATTTTAACAAGATAATTGGGTCCTGTGCGAATTTCCAGCCTTAAAAAAAATAAATACAACACATGAAATTGATCATCAAGATATTGTTGTTCATTGCTACTGCTTACCATATTGAAACTATATCGATAGAATTGAGTGATATATAGATTTAGTTATTGCTATTTTCTTACATCACAAGTTTATTGGACATAATGATATTTAGAATAGTCTTAAGACCAATTAAACTCATAAAGTTCTTAGTTACCTTAGCTTGTAAGTTGGCTGTAAGAATTTTTTTAATTTGAATTTAAATAATGTAATCCAAGGGAGAGATTATTAAATTTTTTAAAAACAGTTAAAGTGTGAACCTACATTATTTATTTTATACTTTTTATCAAAATTAGACTAAGTTAATTTAGTTTTAATAAAGAGACAATATTATAGTCCATGACACTACAAAAAAAACTAGCTTTTTCCGATGAAATTTTTCATCGGAACAAGTTGGAAACCCGTTGGAAATACGTATTTCCAACCGATTTTCGACAAAAATTTTTGTTGAAAAATCCGTCGGTAAAAGCCTTGTCAGTAATACTTTCCGTTGAAAATTCGTCGGAGATTGCCAACGAAAAATTCTGTTGGAAAATTTCGTTGGAAACTATGTAGATTGCTGAATGTCAGTCATAAAATTTCGTTGGAAATGAATCTCTAACGGAATTTCTTTACAAATTTCCAACGAAAAATTCCGTTGGAAAGTCAGTTCCAACAACAATTCAGTTGGAAAATTACGACTGAAATTTTCCGTTGGCCATACTTTGGCTACGAAATTTCCGTTGGAAAATGGTTCACCAGAAAATTTTGTTGGTATTTTTTTTCCGACGGGATTTTCCGTTGGAAATTTCCAACGGTATGTTCCGTCGGAAAAGAATTTCCAACGCAATGAAAATTCTATTAGTAATACTTTTTTATTACTGATGCTTATCCAACAAAATTCAACAATTAAAATTTCAATAATAAATGTCCAATTGACTTCCACAATTAATTTTCAAAATATATAATAGAAGCACAATAAATTTTTTCGGTTGAAAATCCGTCGCAAAAATTCATAAGGGAATTTCGTTAAAATTCCGTCAAAAATCTGTTGCAAATTTTCAACGGAAATTTTCCGTCGGAAAACCTCATATTCTTGTAGTGTAATATGATACAATAAAATGGGTTAAGCTCCAATATTATATGCAGGCTTAATAGTGTAGGTATGTGTAAAAAATTCTAAATCCTATGATGGGTGAGATAAGGGATTCACTAATCACTATGTATAGGTAAGGCTCTCCTTTTGTTTAAGAAACATTAAAAATCTCACTTGTTAGAGAGATGGAGATTAAAGAGGAGGAAAATCCTAATACATTAAATCCCAACATTTAATTAGGTTAGGTTGCTAAAGTCATGGGTCAAAAATGATGTTTTTATGATGCTTTTAATTTCAGCTTTGGTTGATCTTAAATTAAGTATAATTTGTTATACAAAAAGATTAATAATAGCCACATTAATGTTTTGTCAAGGAACTGTATTTGAAGATCAGTTGGCTCCATTATTGCAGAAAACTACAAGTTCTAGGAAACAAATTGCCCAGTAATTCATGTGGCCAGCAATACAGCACGTACCTAGAGTGCTGGTACCTATGAATTTGATTTTCTCATCCAAAAAATCAAATGTCACATAATTAATTAATGGGGAATATAGCGAAAGATCATTCATTGAGTTAGGCCTAGAAATATCACTTTAATCATCAGACTTGCGTACCATATATACCTTTGGCATGCATTTTGTGCAAATTGGAGAACAAAGTTCGAAAGTCAAAAAGTAACCACTTATTACCAAGAGCTTGCTATCTTGGATTGCCACGAAAACTATTAAATAAAAAGCTTAACCATTATTCCACTATTTCATGAATCCATGTATATTTTGGCTTCTGATTAGATGCAGAAAAAGAGGATGTTCTAGTAGATCAAGAGTTTGTCCTTGACTCCTTAGAAAGGAAGACAATTTTGGAATGTGTAGCAGAGGCCTATCTTTGAGAGTGTCATATAAAGCTAAACACTAAAGCCATTTGCGTAGCTGTTATAGTGTCTATGTCACGGTCATGAGTGTGAATTCTTGAAGGAAACAATCATGAATATCTACCGATCACAGTTGTGCTCATCAGGATAGCATTATTTTTCAATCAGTGGGAACAGAAACTGTTTCCTAGTTTCCTTTTCCAAAAGAAAATGTTGTAAAAATCTTATGTCCGTCGTCATACGTGGCTGCTGCTGCCGGCACAATGATGGGTGACTGCTTCATTGTTCTGTCAGTTATCGGCTTCCTTAAAAGTAAGAAAAAGTAGAGGAGGAAATTAAGGGGTGGAGAAGAGGGGAATAAAAGTAGGAAGCTATTACTAGTTGAAACGACACATGTCAAAAGAGGGGTTGATCAAGCTCTCTCTGGTGAAGATTTTTTGACATTAGAAGACGGAATCAAGTTCTGCAGATGGATGGCTAATCAAAAGAGGACCTGCTCAACATGCCGAAAGGACCTCTTCTTTCACTTCGCGACTCTTGACAGGAGCCTCTCTTGGTTCTTCTGCAAAGAAACTCGTATCAGCCTATCAGGACACTCAGCAGCCATTGATATCTCGCATTGTCAAAAAATAAGGAAATCTTTACAAAGGGGCAGCTGCGAAGGAAATCTCTAGGTAAATAGCATTGTTGAATCCAGGAATAATGAAAGGATGTACTATAGTAAATATAATTGTGTGACAATTGATTCTTTTATGTCCTTTTTGATCGAATGATCATTTGCAAGTCGTGAAATGATTGTCTCACGAGGTTAGAGATGTTTGCCAGCGCCCAGTAGCTCTGCTAAGATTCTGATTATTAACTTGACAATACCAGCATGCTATAACCCATGTGTAGAAGCAGTACAGCAATGAAAAAGGTACTTCTAACTCCGCCCATCCATTACTGTCCCCACACAGCGCATATTTTCTCCAAGCATGAGCCCCATCGATTCCAAATCCCAATCCATCAATCAAATCCATGATCAAAATTAGTAGAGCTGTCAGCTAACCAAGGGTCTCCAGCTTACCTTCCATGGTTAGTCAAGCTGGTCCAACGTTAGTGACCAGTTTCAGAAGGCAACTAAGTTTTGTATACAAATACTATATAAAGCTATTTCTTTTGACTAGCTAAGCACCCTAGTCTGGCAGATTCGTGCTTTATCAGCTTAGCTTGTTTATGCCTTTCTAATCAGCAAGTCAATTCATCATGTTCTACACCACTTATTGTGAAGCTTAAATTCCAACCGAAGACTGTTATACTTAGAAGAGAACCTTGAAGCCTGCAAGAAATGCAAAGAAATGGAAAACCCAAAGGCGCCAGCGAATCAGCCTGAGCCAAGGGACACTTACAAAATTGCTTACATGATCCATTTCTTGCTTGGTGCGGGCAATTTGCTTCCATGGAATGCTTTTATCACAGCTGTTGATTACTTCGGTTATCTCTACCCTGCCAAGCATGTGGAAAAGGTTTTCTCTGTAGGCTATATGAGCTCTTCTATGCTAGTTTTAGTTGTTATGATGAGTTCGGGTTGCTGCAGCCGAAAGTTGACTCATAGATTTAGAATGAACATGGGATTTTCCATGTTTATTTTCTCCCTGTTGGTTGCTCCAACTATAGACTGGGCATGGCATAGCAGCTCGTCCAAAGAACGACAGAATGCAGCCTATTTCGTGACAATTGCAGCAGTTGTAATATGTGGTTTAGCAGATGGCTTGATAGCAGGAAGCTTAATAGGATCAGCAGGAAAGCTTCCAAAACAGTACATGCAGGCTATTTTTTCTGGAACTGCCTCTTCAGGTACCTTGCTAACACTTCACTATTCAATTCCTACGCTGATTTTCCTATTGCTTTTCTGAATTAACAATCTGGGTTTTAAAGTATATTGATGACAAAAATAGAAGTGGTTTCAGAAATCATATGAGAAAGCGTGTCCTTGCGAATTAATGCTTTTAAGTTGGTCAAGATAGGAAAAAGAGCAACTTGTTTCTTATTTTAGTTATGGTAAAAGGTAAAGCTAATTGTTGTTCGACACAAATTGAGGAATAATCCTTTCTATTATGTTGTAGTACCTTTTTTTTTTTCTTTTGAAGAAGCTCAAAAGTGCATGCCAGCCTGAGGTAACATATGTACTAGCCTAGAATGTAGAAATCCTGTGAGCTATATCTTATCTTCACTATATGTCCAAAAAAGATCCCTCAGAATATGGCACTCATTCCATGCAAGTGCATCCTTTATTCTTCCAATCACCACCTATGATATTTGTTTTAGCTCCAATTCCCCTTGTTTCCTATAGAAGACCAAAACAGTTGCTGTGTGATCTGCAATGTGATTCTCAGTTATCTAACTAAATCAGAAATCTGATAACAGGTGTGCTGGTTTCCATCCTGAGAATAATAACAAAGGCTTCACTTCCACAAACCCCACAGGGCCTCCGAGCAAGTGCTCATTTCTACTTTATAGTCAGCACCACTATCCTGCTTTGCTGCATTCTCTGCTGCAATTTGCTATATAAGTTACCAGTTATGCAACAGCATTACAGACTTCTTCGAGAGGACCCATTTTGCTCCAGGCCTCAATTTTGGACCGTGGCAAAAAAGGTCTGCTGGCCAGCTCTCGGGATTCTCATGATATACATAGTGACCCTCTCTATTTTCCCCGGATTTATAGCCGAGAATCTTGAATCCAAGCTTCTTCGGGACTGGTATCCTGTTTTGCTCATCACAATGTATAACGTCGCAGATTTCATGGGAAAGTCTCTGACTGCAATATATGTTCTACAGAGCATTAAGAAAACTACATGGGCTGCCATAGCTAGGCTTTTATTCTATCCACTTTTCACTGCTTGCCTCCATGCACCAAAGTGGCTCAAGGGTGAAGTGCCAGTAGTGGTTCTTACATTTATGCTCGGATTAACTAATGGATACCTAACAAGTGTGTTGATGATCCTAGGCCCCAAGACCGTCCCAGTTTCGGAAGCAGAACTATCAGCAATTGTATTGATCGTGTTCCTGGGAATTGGTTTGGTCAGTGGTTCACTTGTTGGTTGGTTTTGGATCATTTGATCCTCTTCCTGAGCTCCCCTTGTCTCCGACTCATGTAGCTAGTTTTCTTTGGAAAAAGAAAAGGTTAGTTCTGCTGTGTGCTGATTTCGCAGACCTGAAGTCCACTCTTCATGTACTCAAAGCAAAGATGAAATCTGAATCTCTCTGCAGAGTCTGTGAAAACACCAAAAAAATAGAGCCTCTGTAGTGTTATTAGTTGGCAACAAAGGTGCTAAGGAAAATCTATAAAAAGCTTTGGAGTTTGTCTTCTTTAGTAATCCCACATTTGAGTAATTTGATCTCTTTTACTCGCCTCCATGCCCTGCTTTATGTCTCTAACGAAAATCAAGAACTCTAAAGTTGGATTAAGCATCCACCACCTTTGATTAATTAAGTCAAAAAGATTATGTAAATAGGATTGAATATTTTGTCTTCCTCGAACTTTATACTAGCTAAAAGCAATGAATAATGAGAAAACTCCAAAAACGTTAGGATAAAAACAGTGGCCTTTTTCTTTTGATCTTGATCAGTTAGGAATCAATTTCGGTGGCACAGGCACTTGGCAAACTTGATAAGATCAACAACTAGGAATCAATTCCTTCAGTGCCCTTCATGCTTAGTAGTATGGACGGCACAAAAAATGGTTGTTTCAATTAGAATTAACTTTAGGTTGGCTATTTGTATTAACATCTTAAAAACATTAATAATTGATAGAAGATGAACACTAACCTGAAAATTTTCACAGAGGCAAAAGAGGGAGGGAGATTCCAATGAAAAATCATTTCCATATCTTATTTTCCCCTTTACATTATACGGCTCTAAGAATGAGAAAGCAAAACAGAGCTCTCAATAACTACAACTCTCACTCTCTTCTAAAAGGCCAAAAAAATATCTAATTAAAAAAAGCTTAAAAGGAAAAACAAAACTTGAAAAGATATATTAACAAATGTCAGAAAAGCTAAATACAAGATATGTCACAAGAGTCTTAAGAAGCAGCAGCGAAAGGGGGAGGCGTTGCAGTAGCTCCATGAAAAGAGCTTTGCACTGATCCTTTACTCAAACTTGCCCCCGCTTCTTCCTCCTCCTCCTCTTCTTCTTCAGCATCCCAAAGAAATCTTGCATATGATGCCAGCACAAAACTGCAAATTTCATTAAAAAAAGAAAGATCCCTTTCCGTTAATCATGGTGTATTCAGACCACAAATGACAAAACCCATTGTTTAAAAGTATTAATTTTGGGGGGATTCAAGTTAAAAAAAACAACAAAAGAAAAAAACACTTACCAGTCATGAGGGGAAGCTTTAACAGCTCGATCGAAGTAAGTTTCAGCTCTCGAGCAATCTTTGTGAGTTTGCCAGATTAAATCAGCGTACATAGACAGAACATTCCCGTCATTGGGATTAGCCAAGATTGCCCTCCCGCAATATTCCTCGGCTTTCACGAAATCCCCACGAACCTGCTCCGAAATTCCGACATTAGATGAAACTCAAACTGGAAACTCATTTTAATCCTTCTTTTTTATGTAAGAAAATAGTTACCTCTTTTAAGAATCTAGCGTAATTGCTGAGGAGAAGTGAATTTCCAGGATTAGCCTCGATCATTTTCTGATAATACAAATCGGTACTACCATTTCCGTTGTTCGAATCCGAATAACCCCATTCGTTATTTCCACCATCGGATCCTCCACCACCACCGCCTCCGCCTCCTCCGCAGAAATTCCCTCCGCCACCGCCGATCCCACACCCTTCCTCCACTCCAAACGACGCCGTTCTCCACCACTCAAATCCAGCTTCTTCTTTCTCCACCTCCTCTTCTTCCTCAACACTGATCCCATTCAAGATCCCGTTATTGTTCTTCACAGTTTTCATTTTGGGAACCACCATGTCCCTCAGATCTGTCTCCGACAATGCTCTGTTCATCCTCCGACTCGAATCGTCGCTCGACCCCACGGAAATCGAGCTCGAACACGAAACTGTGAAGGAAACGGATCGGGGTCGGGAAATCTGGCGGGAAAACTCGGGCTCCGGCGATGGCTCCTTCGAGTGTGGAACCCATGAGTTAAGTACCGGCGTTGATGCGCTTCTTAAAAGCATTTTGTAACCCCAATGAAAGTTAAGAAATTAAAGGGTGAATTTTATAAATAAGCCAACGATCCGTGTTCTACTTTTGGCCCTCACTGCTCTGCTGCAGCTGCAGCGTCTATGAGAGAGAAATTGGGAAACAGAGAAGAGGCGGTGGACATTTTTATAGGAAGACTATGTGAATGCACGAAACAGATCTTGGCCGTTCATTTCAGTGATTGGATCTGACACGGTGATATGCACGTGGTTTTTCTGAGCTGGGTAACTAAAGAGCTGTTTGGTTGCGAGAAATGATAGAAGGAAATAGTTAATACTAAATTTAACATTTCCCATTATAGAAAAAGGGGGATTTATCTTAGCAGCAAGTAACTTCTCAATGAATATGTCTATGGGGATTGTTGTCAGACTTAGACTTCTTTCTATAGTTTAAACAAATTGAGAGTGACGCAATGATTTAAATTAAGTTTTAAAAAATAATTAAATTTGATTTCAGCTTGATCTTGATCTCCCAGATACTTGAGATAAAAGCAAGAAATCAACAAATTGATTTGAATTGTACTAAAAATTTTTATGCTTAAAAAGTCAATAGCAAACACGCCCCTAAGAAACTATTAGTTGGCCGTTGCCACTAGGCACTACTAATCAAATCGGGCTTTTCTCCTATGCGCGCTAGACGGAGACTAGTAAACGGTTCACATTGGACAACGGTTGACCGCCACGCCAAACACATCACGTGAGCTGGGACCTGGTGTCGCTGTCCGATTCTCCTCCTGGCGCACTTCAGCGGTTCCGATTCAATCTCTCCACGTGACACAGAGAAAACCGCTGGCATGTCCCCCAGAAAAGCAAAGGACGTACTGGCATGCAACATATATAAATAGTCAGTGATTTTTCTCAAAATAAATATTGCTTGATGTAACGAGTGAATTTATATATTTCAAGTATAATCAGAAATTTTATTGTGAAGACGAAAATGCCTTTCAAATTAGTTTTGAGGAAGAAAAAAAAGGAGCAACTGAGATGACCTTGGAGTAGCTGCTCGCGGGGCAAGCAACGCCTACAAATGTGGCATACGGAGACTGGAAACGGTATTTTCGGTACTTCAATTATTATTTTTATTACACTTAATAGTTATTAACAATTTTATAATGACACCAGACATCATTTATTTTTCAATAAGCCGCCGATAATTAATTTATATACGTTTCATCACACCCAAATGTTAGTTTCCCATGGTATTCGTATTACAACTCTGGCGACAAAAAGCACTCGGTTTTGTACTTGATTAATGAGACCGCCACGGGTGCACTTGAGTGGCTGGCCTTAACCTAGGTGGGACCCTGTTGCAAATTGAAGTAGAGTATGTGATTCTGCCAAAGTGGTGGAGCCCGGGGGGTCTGGGCTCAACGGTGGTGAGTTGGAGACGTCAAGTCAAAAGCATCACGTCAAAGACAGTAGTCGGGGTGGGTTGGGTAGCTATTCATATTTCATTGGTTAAGTGGACGGATGTAGCTCCCCCTTCCCAGATTTTTGTGGGTCCCGACAGAAGTTGTTTTGTCTATAGTCTAGCAACTTGCACATCTAAGGGTAATATCGTCATTACGGTGCAGATTATTTCTGCCTAGATATTTTTCACTTTTCTGAATCGTGAAAGATTTTATTACTAAGAAATTGAAGCGTGAGAAGTAGAAAGTGGTCTGAGAATCTATTGGCCGACTGAAATTATTCCGCCATGACTCCAATTAAAGACAGACCATCCTTGGATTTTGAGTTCTTCATAACAAGCGCCCCTCAGCTACAGTGTTCCATTGTGAAGGCATGCGATTACAGCAAGGCTAGGAGTAGGCATGATGCGAACTCAATAATCAAATCATTAGCATTAGAACTCAAATTGCGGCTGGCCGGGGCCACCGTGGTGACAAGTTCAGCAATCAGAGCTAGAAGTGGAGTCTATCCTTCCGGGCAACCACCGGACAAACCTCGTTTTCTGACTGTACTTCGTAAATAATACTAGTGAAGTACTTTAGACAAGTTCAGTCCTGTTGTTTCAAATCATTTTTCGGTGGTCTGGTGAAAACTCTCACCCCAAACTCTCGTGTCAAGTGGCCAATTAGGCTTTTGGTATTCATGCTCTACTCTAACGCAACGATTATAACCTCAAAACTCAGAAGGGAAACAACAAACTATGCCAGTTTTTTAGTTGAAAAAGGAAAGAAAAGGGTTTTTTATATATACGGCCTCGAAACCAACTGAAACCAGATAACCCCAGATAACAAAGCCCTGTTAAAGAGACTCCCAAATGGAAGAATGTCCAAAACTCCTGACAAATTAGGAAACAAGTCTCAACCACTACATGCATATACATTTGCGTTTGATATAAAAGCTGTTGAAAAGCACAAGAGATTATAGAGATCTATAAAATCTTTCTTATATTGCATGGACAACCATGCAAGCCAAGAAATAGAGAGAGATATGAAGTCCAATTGAACCAGTTGGCGTGAAGGAGATTCCACAGGTTTTGGTTGACCAATTTAAGCCTCAGGAAGCATTTTCATGATATGTATATCCGCCCACCTTCTTTTTCAAGATCGAAAAATCAACTTTGTTTCATCCCTCTTGAAACCTCCAATCAGAATGAGAAAGCCATCTAGTTGCTTGTCATGCCTTTTTTACAATGTCGTTACTTGCAAAAACAATTAGCTTATAAATAGTGATGTTTTGTCCATTATAGTGAGGTATAATGAAAGCAATTCTCTTCTTCTTTTGCTCTTCATTTTCTTAAAAAAGAAAATATTGTTTTGATAACAAAGACCTCACAATAGTTTATTGGTGCCGTATGCATAATGGACGATTAAGGCAGATCTGGGATACTTGTTCTAGATCCAAGAAAAATCTTTGACCTACTCTTGAGATCTTGAATATATATATACATATATAGAAATGGCACTATTTTTTTATCCATTGCTTGATTGTAAGTTCCAAAACGAGAAGTAAATCTCAAACAATCAATTTACATGATTATTAGCATGTTGGAATAATAGTCATGGTATCTACAATACTTTTATTTCAAATATTTGTATTTTAAAATATTATTTATATTTATATTTCTTGACATGATATTTAATAGTATTTATTGCATAAACTTAAAAGTAAGATTTATCAATTCATGAATAGGTCAATTAATTCATAAATGAGATATATTAAATCAATTAATTATTACCACGTTGCGTAGAATAAAAATATTGAATCAAAGAGAATAAGAGGAATAGTATTTTTGTTTGAATAATTAATTAAGTTGTTTATAATATTTTGTATTAATTTTTGTCCTAAAAGTGCATTCCTATTTAAAACTTCATCTTAAAATACTTCAAAGGAAAAAAAAACCCTTCATTACATAAATTTGGATTCTGAAACACATGCAAAAGCAAGCAAATCTCATTTGTACAAAAAGATTGCCAAACTAAAATAAGAAGTCTCTGTTTTCATTGATATGCATGGTATACCATTCTTATATTCTATACATTCACTAAGTCAATACTTAATTGTTTAGTGCCCATCAATTAAAAAGTCAAATCCAGGAGAAGAAAGGTAAAACTGACTGAGGAAGTTATGTGCCATCATATTTGTTTATCAGCGCCAATAAGTGGCTGCTATTAATCCCCTTTGAGAAGCACTCAGTGGAAAAGGTTAAGCTAGTTTAAACATCTGTGACACTTTACAAATAAGCTCTATACCATATTAAGGATTCTGTCTAGATATACCTTCCAGTTTGAGCTTTTTCAAAACTCTACAGCTACTTCTCGAAAGCTATGTTGGGCTTACCTTCAGCTTTACCAAGCGTTTTAGTCTGCCTGGATTGACCAGAGGTTGGGCTGCAATTACTGGTGATATCTTTTGGGTTTGAGCCTATTTTATTCTTCTAAATCTTTTTGCTTGGGTTTGTCCGAAGTGTTAAATCAAGGCCATCGAGGAATAGCTTTGCGTCAAGAATGAGTTAAACGCTACCATTTCTTGAAAACTAATTTAATGTATTTGAATTCTGGTTCTAGCGAGTCAAAAGTCTGATGAACCACAAATTAATGATTTATAAATTATAGGATTTCACATTCACATCCCTTTTTTTTTTCATAATTAAAAGTATAACATGTCATACCATCATTCTATCTAATTAAGTCTTAGTTTCAATCTAAAAAAATCATTACATACATTGGAATTGCTTAATCAACTTCGGATTAGTGTCGACTAATGCATGGTTTTTTTTTTATCCTTTAGATAAAATTGACATCTAAGAATAGCATTAACTTGACAAAAAACATTTTAATTTATGCTTCTTTTTTATCCTTTGGATCAATTCCAAGATTCATGATTCCAAGCTCCAAACCATAAACCATAGGGCTGTAGAGATCATAACTCCACAGTTAAGATACTTTAGTACAACATGCGTATGATATAAGCACAACTAGAGATCATCCTAAAGAAATCAACATAACAATGTTGCAAGGTGTCTATCAAATTGTTCAAGCATCTCTCTCTATTTAGCGTGCGCATGTGTGTAAAATTAATTTACTTTTACATTTATTTATATTTTTTTATTTAATTTATATTTAGTTAATTTAATCGTGGACATTTCATATTCTATTTACGTAAATTATGTATATTAAATTTTAAATTAATTAAAAATGTTTAACTATTTATTTGATATAGTAAAATTTCGATCAATTAAATATATATTGAAAGGTAATTTTCGTGTTCGATGTAATAGGATAGATTCGAAATATTATGTGTATGATAAGTGAAGTAGATTCAATAATTGATTTATTAAAATATTAATTATACGTGAAATTATAAAATCCACATAATAAATCCTCGAATTCAAAATCAAATTCTACAGGAGAGACAAAGCAAATGAAATCAAAATCAAATCTTAAATCTTATCTTGTAAGAGGGAACAATGGTAGACCAACCAGTTTGCTTGGTAAAGTAATCAATTTCAGGCGACAATTTAATTAATTAGTCAACAAATAATGATTACACAATTGGAGTATATATTTCCTCACGGATTCGCATCGATCAAACGTCCTTTGTATTTCATCATCCGAAGCTATAAACTTGGTCAATAATTATTTTGTTTACAGATAATATAAC